AAAAAAAAAAAAAAAAAAAAAAAAAAAAAAACCAAAAACAAACAAATAATCAATGTACAATAACAAACGACAAATTTTGAATGTGATAAAATGAAAGAGAACGATGAGTTCCTATAATAGAAAACAGAAATATACGGATTAATGATTAATGTATATTTTACATTTTTAATGTTTAGTTTTTTGAACTGATAGATGGAGTGTTTTATGAAGTATTTATTACAAAACATCTATAATTTAGTTTAACGAGGGATGTTACCTATGTATTCAATCGATTTTGAGTCGAGACAAGGCTTGTACTCAAGTCCAATAACCGAATTTGAATATTTCAAATTTATTTCAATGATTATCAATTATATCAATAAACTATTGTACCACAGATATAGAAGGATGCCTGCCTTTGCCAATCAACTGTACCATGATCTAATGAATCATTTGCTTTACTAAGAGATTGAAAGGGATCCAAAAAATAACCCAAATTCATTAGATTCGAGGTTTTTGATTGGCTTTAGCAGGTAGTCCAACAACATTACCGAAACTCTTCTTTTGACATTCTCTAACTTCATTTTGCTACTTCAATTTTCTGCTGATGGAAAAATGTTATGTCATATGGCTCAGTAGATAAGGACATTTTTCTTCATCTAGGCAAAATCGACTCAAACGGTTTGAGTGCATACCTAGACGAGACTAGATGCATTATGTAGGCGTTGACTTATTGCTGCAGAGCTATTATATTCGTAAGAAGAATGACATTGTTTCACTCATGAACACTAGGAAAACTGATTTTTAAATTTTGACTTGACATTTTACATAGAGATAGATTTCCATTAGAACAGTTGATTGTGAAAATTTCACAACTATTGATTACTTCTGTTCTTAAATAAGAACATCAGGAATTTGTCGATTGAACAGGAGAGATATGACAAACATGTTGTTTTCATAACTATATCTTAGGATAGAAATAATTATAAGATCTGTAATTTTTACAAAAAATTAAGTCCATTGACGTCTGTCTCTGTGCAAAATTTTGAGTCGAAATTCAAAAGTTAGTTTTCCTAATGTTTCTCAATGAAACACAATAAATTATAGATCCAAACTGTTTCAAGAATATTCATAGTTCATTAGGATCTATACGATACGCATAGGTTCGACTCAAAAGTGATTGGACACTTTATCATATGTATTATGGATTTAGTTCTCTAATTTAAACTGTCAATAAAATGGGATAGTCAAAGCAGATTATAGGTTTTTGAATGCCTCATCTCTTTCTAATCATATGGTTCGCGAATATCTATAGAAATACGAAAAGTCATTCAAAACGTTTCTCATTTTATTGAGAGAACAAGCTATGAACCAATGATTGAAGATGTTTTGTATATAAATTTTGTATTTTAGTTATTCTCTAACAACAATTTAGAAATAGTTTTATTTTATCAATATCATGAAAATATACTATTAGGAAATTTCAAAACGATAAAGAATGTTTTTAAATCAAAATGAAAGTTTTTTTCTTTCAAACAAAGCAACATACTTGATATCAATATAGAAAATTCACCTGGTTATTTTAACTGAGACATAAAAGATAAATCAGTATTGTCTATTTAGATCACCGGCGAGAATACCATCGATTATTCATATGAACCTAAAATAGAAACAAACTAAATATTTGAAAAAAAGATTGAGTTTTTTCAATCGAACTTGTTCATAATTATTGGATGTTGTTGGCCGACGTCGAATAGTTGCCATCGGTAATTGTTTAGTTCGATCAAATTTTAGCGGATGAACTCGATGATTATACGCTAAAATTAAAAATAAACCATAATATATTTTAACCTATACAGTGTGTCTCAAAAGCCGCTTTACAAATATTTTTTTTTTCGTATGTCCTTATTATTTGATTCAACTTTGTCAACTCATCTTGTTTTAAAATGATAAGTCCATACACCAAGTTTTTATTTATACAAGCAAACTTAAAAAATATCCTTCAAAGCTATCACCTCTAACCAAAATACAGAAATTTAGCCTTTTTTCTATATGTAGAAAATCAATATACAACTATTCTTTTTTAATTACTCCGGTTTCTTGAATTATTCTGATCTTAAATAGTCGCTTTATAGAAATATTCTAATAAAAAGAAATCCAATAGTATCATATGATCATGCCCACTGCACCTTCGAAGCGACATATGAATTATTTCGGATCCAAATACGGCAGCTATGTTTATAAACCAATGCAGAATGTAAGCGTTAGAGCTCGTTGGATCTCGGACCAACCCAACAGGCTCTAATGAACGTGTGCATAACATCCAAGAAAATGAAGCAATTACAAAAATAATCATTGCATAATACCTTTATATATATAGAAAAAAAAGCTAAGTTTTTCTATATCGATTAGATGTGATAACTTTGAAGAATACTTTTGAAGTTTACTTATATGAATAAAAACTCTGTGCATAGATCTATCATTTAAAAACAAAAAGATCAGTTGATAAAGTTGAATCAAATAATAACGACATACGAACAAAAACATTTGTAAAGAGATTTTTTGGATATACTGTATTTTCTACTAAACTTACAATCATTTGTTTGATGATAAGCATTTCTTTTTAAATTTTCTTCATAATTTAAATATGATTTTTGTTCATCAATATTTAAATTTAATGGATGATGATAATTATAATGTTCTTGAAGTGATTTAACATGAAGTAAACATCGATTACAATATTTAAATAGTGATTCAATACGACGTTGTTGTTTATTATTACTATTTTCAATTCTATCAAAATGAAGTATAACATGACGAAAAGCAGGTGTCGAATTAAGAATATTTGTATTTGATATTGCTGGTAATAATACTGATTGAAAACAATATGGACAAAAAAAATATTGTGTTCCTTTATGTACCTAAAAAAGAATTAAAAATAACAAATAGTCTAAAAAGAATAGAACACTTTGATTTTCTTTTGTTTTTAAAGTCCACAGCACAGTTTAAAGATACCATTCTAGGTTCATTCTAATAAGTTTCTTCTGTCGCAGAAAAGTCGAAAAGATTGGCAATCATTGAACTGCGACTGTCAGAAAACAAAACACTTATTAAATATATGTTTAAATAACAGTTCTGTCGAAATTTGAAGTATGCTACAAGATACTATGTGAAATGCCGCAACTCACAATGTTTCGTAATTTTAGGAAAAAAATATTCGGAAGAGCAATTTCTCTAGCAAAAATTAGAAAACGACGTAAAATACTCTTTTTGGCAGTTCTATGCTATTGAAGACAATCTAAAGATTTCGATTATTCAATTTAAATGTTACATCTTTTGTTCAAAATTAAATTCTGCGTCCAATGATATAATGATGAGCTGTTCATAGAGCATGCTAACTTTTGAAAGATATGAGTTTCAAAAAACGTACTCAAAACAAAATACTACCAGATGTTAGTTCCAAGCCTTTTGCACTCTAACAACATCATTGAAAGCCTTGAGATGATCTTGGAACCATAGAAAATAAAATTCTTTATCTATTGATGCTAAATACTTTACATTTAGTATCGAACTTGATAAGCGCAAATCGTTAGATGTTCACAGAAGATTGCAGCTGAGCAGTGAGCCAGATATCAATCTTTCCGATTTCTCGTCGATATTTTTGTAGAGCGAAAAATTCTCTACCGAATGAGCTTAGAATGGTACTTTTGAACAGTATTTTCATTCTTTAAAAAATGGAAAATCAAATTGCTCCATTATTTATCGACCACTCGTTATTTTTAAAAACATTAATCAAAAAAGAAAATTTACTTGTCGAATATGATGAGCCATATCTTCATATATTGATGTTCGATAATTACATCGATCACATATATATGGCATATCAAGACCAACATGTACATAATTTAAATGAGTAAATAAATCTACTAAACTATGATGATTTTGTTGACATATTCGACAACGAAATTCATTTATTTCAATCATATGTGCTTGATCTTTGTGTAATAATGTTTGAAATGGTGTTGAAAATTCATCATGACATATTGAACATCGTCGATAGATTTTATCAAATGGACTTATATAATTAAGATCATCTTCAAAATGTGAACATAAATGTGCTATAAATGACATATTATTTAATGATTGTTCACCACATATAGAACATTCTAATCAAAAAACAAAAAACAAAAAAAAAGTTTTTCTTTTGTCTGAAATAAATATAAAAGAAAAAATACAACTAAACATACTAATACGAAAATCTCCATAATCATCTGAATTTATTGATTGACCATTACGAGTACCATAAAAACGTGATAGTGCAGTAGCATAAATACGTTCAAGTTCATGTTCAATTGAATTTATATTGTGATGACGATGACTATCATTAGAAGATGATGAATAAAGTTTTGAACGTATCTGAGTATTTGTTTCAGGTTGTGGTCGAACAAAATGAGTTGATGGTGGTAATCGATTATTTGCTGAAGTTAAATGACCACGTCCACCACGGCCACGACCTCGAAAACCAAAATCTTTATTTTTTGTTGTTTAATGGAAAAACAAAAAGTTTTACCTCGGCCGATATTACCATTAACATGACTACTACGATT